AGGGGTGCGCCCGCCTAAGTGCGTGCGTTCCTGCGTGCGTGCCTTGCGTGCGGTAGCCACCACCGCGCGGCGGCCTCGGTCCTCCTCGGCTCTCGGCGTCGCCGCAGGGTGTTCTGGGAAGTGGAGTCCCCCCCCGCGCCGGCGTCGGCCCCACCCCGCGGAGGGGGGCTCGCGGGCCGAGCCGCGTGCGTGCTGCGTGCGTGCGCGTTCCCGCTGAGGCGCTCCGAGCTAGGCACCGCGGGGCGCAGGCGCGGCTTGGCTTCCTTGTTTGAGTTCAGGTCGGAAGTGGCGCGCGGGGTCAACCGTGGGCAAAGGCCACGCCCGGCGCGGGGTCACGCCGGGTGGAGGCGCCCCTTCCCACGCCTGCACCTCCGCTACTTCCCGGAACTCGTCTCCCGGGAGGGGATGGCGGCTGCAGCGGCGGCTGCAGGCAAGACCGCGGTGACGGTGGGTGGGAGGGCCCGCTGGGCCCCGTCCGCAGATGGAAGCGCGGGTGGACGCCGGGCACGCCCGTGAGCGCCCCGCAGGACGGCCCTGCAGCCCGGAGCTGGGCGACCGGCGCGCGACCACGGGCTCTGGGGACAGTCGGGTCGTTCGGGTGACCTGTGCCGCGGGACTCCGCTTACTCCCCGCCTGCCATAAGTTCCCTTACTCGTCGTCGTAAAATTAAGTGAATGGAAGGAGTGAAGGAACTAGGTCGCAGGCAAACGCTACAAAACAAAACGTTTAAAATACAACTTCGTCTCGCCCACTTTATAGTTTGCAAGGCATGTGGGCATCGGTGTCAATTTCAGTAGTCACCCGCTTGGAGTAGCTCAGTCCCCATTTGCAGAAGGGAGAGGGAGGCCAGCAGGCGAGAAATGAGTGCGTAGTCCCAGGTAGCATCAGGCAGGCGTTGTGTCCCCCACCTGGGAACCGTCCTCGTCCTCGTGCGCGGTTTTTGTTTTGCTTTGCTTTGCTTTTTTGCAGGTCGAAAGAAATCAGTAGCACTTGGCAGGGACCGGTAGCCCATTGTGGGGTCCCTGGGAAGCTGGACGGACATATCCAAGACATGTGGACATGAGTGCACTGGGGACAGGTGACGGGGAAGCAAACATGAGAGGCAGGGTGGCATTGTCCTTCCAATGGGGCCAGCTCCACAACCCCACTTTGAGGAATGTATCCCCCAAATGCTGGCCCCACTGTGTGCACAGAGATGTCCCAGGAAGCTAACAGTCCGCTATTAAAATCAGAAAACTCAGGGGCGCCTGGGTGGCGCAGTCGGTTAAGCGTCCGACTTCAGCCAGGTCACGATCTCGCGGTCCGTGAGTTCGAGCCCCGCGTCGGGCTCTAGGCTGATGGCTCAGAGCCTGGAGCCTGTTTCCGATTCTGTGTCTCCCTCTCTCTCTGCCCCTCGCCCGTTCATGCTCTGTCTCTCTCTGTCCCAAAAATAAATAAACGTTGAAAAAAAATTAAAAAAAAAATAAAATCAGAAAACTTGGAGGGAAAAAAAAAAAAACCCACATGTCCATCTACTGGTATCTGGATAAATAAACCATGAAGGGCATGAATGAAATACACAGCAAGTGGTTAAATGAAGGAAGCCAGACACAAACTTTTGAAAATAATATATTTTTAAAAATACAGACACCGGGGTGCCCAACTGGCTCGGTTGGTAGAACATGGGACCCTTGAACTCAGGTTTGAGAGTTCAAGCCCCACATTAGGTTTGGACCCTAATTAAAAACTACAACAAAAACATTAAAAGTACAGACACCAACCAGGAATAAAATAACTAAGACCCATGTTATCTGCCACTGGAACAAATATATGTTAGTGTTACGTTTGCTTCATATCTTTTTATTAAAATTTTTTTTTTCAACGTTTATTTATTTTTGGGACAGAGAGAGACAGAGCATGAACGGGGGAGGGGCAGAGAGAGAGGGAGACACAGAATCGGAAACAGGCTCCAGGCTCTGAGCCATCAGCCCAGGGCCCGACGCGGGGCTCGAACTCACGGAGCGCGAGATCGTGACCTGGCTGAAGTCGGACGCTTAACCGACTGCGCCACCCAGGCGCCCCGCTTCATATCTTTTTAAACTGAACTAGCCAGCTGGATTTTTCCCTCCTTTCTGACTCATTTCCTCCCTCCCCCCCATAGCAAATGCTGTGACAAAAATGGGTATGTGGACACTTCTGAATTTACTCCTATGAATATGTGCATATTGAAGACACAAAATATGGTTTGGGTCCCTTTTTTATTGTAAAGTACACATAACATAAAATTTAGCATTGTCACTATTTGTTTTTTTTTTT